AGTAACGGTACCAATAAATGAATGTACTTAAGGCTAAATATTAATTAAAAAACCTGAAACATATCGTCAGAATCACCACGTGCACATACTACAATAAACAGTTGTCATAATTTTGTTAATTTAATGACTTTTGAAAGCTAACTTTAAATTATTTTTAAATTAACTATAAATAATTTTCAAGACAAGTGTAGGTCATCTGTAAATCATTTTTTTTGTTTTCTTTAAGGCAATATCAGACAATGCTCTAACTCTGTTTAATTTATCTTTAAGATATTTTGAGTTACCTGTAAGTAGTGGGTGCATTTTCTATAACCCTATCCATGGCATCAATCTGACACCCTGTGGATATAAAACTAGGGAGATCCAAGCAAGGAGAGATGAGTATTTGAAATGAAACTTTTTTAGGCCCACCTTACATGGGAAGTTAACTTATGAAAAAAGCATGCAAGTGAAAGCTGCCGTGCATATATTTATATGTATTATATATACGTACCAGCCAGTGCTGATTGCAGTGCAGAGAATCTGTTTGACTGTCTCTCTTTTTATCTCTCCCTCCTTCGGAGAATAGAAATTCAATGAAAAATTACAACTGTACAATGGAAAATAACTATATTGCATTATTTTACTTTAATGGTAGCAAAAATTTTGTTTGTCAGATTCAAAGATTTCAGCAAGAACTGATGGTACATATATATAATGTCATATTAGATGCACAAATAGTAAATTTAAATAATAGAAATTTTTGTCCTACGTAATGGGACAAAAGAACCTTCTTTCGGGGTAGTAGAAAATTTATGTTTCGTTATGCATTACATGGTCAACAATTTGTACATGTATTAATATGATAATACATATGTATATCATAGCCAACATCGAAGTTCCTGGAGTGCGCAAAACTAGTGTTACATAAGTAGTATATTAAAGTATATGTAATCTATGCATACAGGTCCTCGAATGTGTAATAATATCAAAATTTTCACTACTTTAATATTGGATTCTAAAAAACCTATTGAAATGAGGTTCACTTTAATTTTCTCAGTTTCTGGTATACCAAGTTTAATAATTTTTGAGTTAAAAATTTCCCTTCTTCCGAGGGTCCCAGGACCCACACCTGGTTTTTTTATGTTTTTGTTCTATAAGATGTTTCTGTAGATGGTAAATTTACTTTAAAATAATTAAAACTGTTTTTTTATTTGTTACAATTGTTTGAAAGATCTTATAAATTCTGAACAGCCCACAACGCTCACTATTTCATGATATTTCTCACTACAGTAATTTCATTATGTAGCAGTTGAATTCATAATTTTAATAATCCAATATTTTGTTTTATATAGTAGTTAAGGTTCTGATACCAACCTAATGACGAAAAGTAAAGACTTTTATTGTTTATCGAATGCAACTATCGTTAATCATTCAATATAAATTTTTGACTTTTATCAATGCGAAAAAATCAGTTGTTGACAATTAAAAATTGTTATAACTACCTTACTAAATTATGAATGTTAAAATTTTTTTAGCAGACATAATAAATTGAAAAAGAAAAAAATTAAGCCCAAGAATGTTGAAATTAGTTCTTGAAATCCTGAGATCTGACTTGTTACAAACAAACAAATACACACACACATTTAAAAAAATAATGTTTTTTTAGTAGACACTACTTACAATACTTCTTACATAATTTCATGGAAACTTAGTTTTCTACTGATACAAATTACCAACTACCTTAAATCTACCGTAATAGAGTATAAAATACAAATTTTTTAGTATTACTGATTAGATCACAGTTGGTCATCTTTAATTTCTAGAATATATTTGTTTGTTTTGGAGACACAATTTCATTCTCCCGAAAACTTATTTACTTTTTTCATAAAAACTAATCAAAATAACTTACGAAAATTCTTTAAAATATGGAATAATGGTAGTTTTCCTACGAGTTTGAAAAGTCTCTGTTTGCGAACCGAGACGTTTGCGGCCCGAGCCGAAGGCAAGGGACGTAGCGAGGTTCGTAAAGGAGACTTTTCGAACGAGTTCCGGAAAACTGCTTTTTCGCCCGAGGAAGTACCAGCCTCCCAAAACCACCCGAGGGCGGAAATGGTAGTTTTCCTACGAGTTTGAAAAGTCTCTATTTGCAAACCGAGAGGTTTGCGGCCCGAGCCAAAGGCAAGGGACGTAACGAGGTTCGTAAAGGAGACTTTTCGAACGAGTTCCGGAAAACTGCTTTTTCGCCCGAGGAAGTGTACCATTTCCGCCCTCGGGTGGTTTTGGGAGGCTGGTACTTCCATGGGCGAAAAAGCAGTTTTCCGGAACTCGTTCGAAAAGTCTCCTTTACGAGCCTCGTTACGGACCTCGCCTTCGGCTCGGGCCACAAACCTCTCGGTTTGCAAACAAAGACTTTTCAAACTCGTAGGAAAACTACTATTTCTTAGAGATACAAAGGTTTCTCTATGATCATAACAGTCAGTATTATGAATAATAATTGATTTTGGACTACAATGACAAAGTGAATAAAACAGTGTGGACACACTATATTATAACATACAGACGTATTATTACTGTACCTTCCTACAACACAACTAAGCTATCCATAATCCTGATATTTTATATTCAACTTACTAATATGGCTGTTCTACAGATACGGCTATAGAGTTCATTTAGCTTAACTATTAAAATAAACTAGTATACAGTGGGTGCTTGGGTACCTATGTATGAAGCTATATTTCCATGAAATTAAATGGCAGAAAATACAATTATCATTATAAATATACTTTCTATAAAACGACATTGTGTAAAAGGATGGTGCAATAATTGTAGTAATAAGTATACCTTTATTAATTTGGCGTAGTTTTTGTTAATATGTTAATGTTTAGTAAGAAAACGGTTATGAACAGTATATTATGGCATAATAAAACACACGAGTAAACAACATGTAGGCTTGCCTATATCTTTAACATTACTCTTACATCTGTCACATACGTTCAATTCCTACTTCACACGTTTTCCTAGACTATATTTAAAACTAAAAATATATTTATATCGAAAAAGTTAAGAAAAACTATTCTGTAGTACCACTTTTTCTAAGATAGTATTATAACATTTCAATATTATAACATGCCAGTGAATTTTCCTTTATAACGTTCACCACACATAGGTTTTTTTGACAGATATTATTAAACGTCAAAAGTATATTCGAAATAACAAAAAGAAATACCCACATAAAATTTTATATGGTTCAACTGTCCAATTTTTGTATGTTTAGTTTCAAAAAATTGCAATTTAACGCGTACCTCTATAAAAAAATAACATAAAATTTTCTGTAAATGTATGATGTGCTGTGGTATCGTGGCGTGGTGTTATGTGGAGGGGAAAAGATGCGTGGTAGTATGGTGAAAGGGAAATAACATGCAAAATTCGCTTCCATTACACATTTTCTCAAGGTCACCAATCCAAAATCGTCAATATACTCTCACGCGCAACGTGCCTATAAAAGAGTAACCTAAAAAATATTGAAATAGGAGTGATTGCTTCTTCTCCAGAAATTCATGTTCAAAATCTGAAAATCAAGTGTAATACTTTAAGTACTTTTATGTTAACAATTATTTCTTTGTTTCCTAAGACTTATATATAGTGAAAAGTATTTTATGTAAAATGTATAATTCAGTCATAGTTAAGAATAACAGAATCATTTGAGTTTTTTTTTTCATGCTGAGTAAAAATTATATTCTATAGAATTAAGGACACCAAATAGAACTTTTTGACTATCCAAATTGGTACAGTTTTCTTGTGTGTTGCGTGTAAATGTATCTGTTATTATTTCTACGGGGTCCTTTTATCTAAAGTAAGAAACAGTAAGAATATTTCTTCATTAATGGAAAAAGCAGAAAATGCCTTATTCACCTTTGTCTTTTTCAAAGTGAACTGGGTTCGTAGAATTATTATTCAATTATTTTGCGAATCCGTTAATCACTCTAAGCATTTCAAATACTTTTTCTTCACACTCCTGCTGAAAATACAAAATTCCTTCCAGGTATTTTTCTCTATAAAATCGGAGAAAAACGTCATATTTTAAGAGAAAAAAGAAAAAGTCGTACCTGTTACCGAGATAAAAGTATGGTATCGACTGTCAAGTGCTTGCCTCCTTCATCTTTGGCGCACTCATTACACACCCGAAAGAAATGTCGTGCTTTTGTCCCTTAGGGTGTAATATTTCAAGGCAACATAAAAGGATCAATGCTTATGTAAAAGTTTCAGCTAACTATAAAGATCTCTAAGATGAACTTGCTTATGCGTATTAAGATGCAATCTTACAGCGTATGTAAGAACCGTACTGTAACAATTTTTTTTTATTTTATATTGAGTTCATACATTTATCTAATTTACATTATTTAGTTAACTACCAAGCTGATTCTCAGTAAAGAGGTACATTTATTTTCGATATCGTGACTTATACATAGTTTAGTATCGATTGTAACGTTAAGTTTCTCAAATAATTTAATTCTTCTAGTACTATAAACTTCAGAAATAAAACATTAACTTACTCTATTTGATTATTTTGACTTTGAATCTTATTAATTCATTCTTCACTTCTTTTTCCTTCATGGCTTGTACATTAGATCCACAGCCTATTATAATTATACGTTTTTGTTCTCGTTTTTAGTAACTTATGTAAAAATACTTATTTAGGATTTGTTTACCATAAGAACTTCCAGAAACAGTTTTTTCAAATAAAACGTTACCCATGTCTTAACTGGCTGCTACATCATTGGGCTTAATATATATACGCAGTATTAAACGTGCGAAATAAAATAACTTAAATTAATGAAGGGGTTTTACTTGTAATAGATCATTAGTCTGCTAATAAATAATGTTAATTGTTTTTAAAACACAATTAGTAGAGAAAAAAAACATTAATTACACTTCAATAAGAACTTTTGAAAAAAAAAGATGTAAACTTGCATCCCTTACTAAATAATAATGAAAAGATCGAAAGTTGTTCATTTTACCATAAACTCCATGTGTTCTTGTACCGTAAGTGATTCTATGGCAAGATCTTGTTGGGGAACAAAGCCTGAAATTCGTGTCATGATTTCAGCATCAACTGGCTCACCATTAATTGACACTTCTCCTTGTATTTTTCCTGTAAATTTTAATTATAAATATAGAATTTAAATCCATTTATTATTATTAAATATTACGGATAGTTAAGTATTTCAAAACTTATAGCCCAAAATGCACCTTTATAGAGGTCAAAATAGTTTATCACGTATCATAACTGACAGCACCACTGGTCTTCAGTCAGGAGTGTAGGTACTTTACCCTTAACTTAATTAAAATGTTTTGCTGTAAAATTAATATAAGTGGCAAGTAAAACTAAGGCAATTGCAGCTTAGGTCCCAATTTTGTTGCCATATACTGTTGAAAAGACTGCCAAGTCTTCTGATCTTAGCTTTAAAACGACAAACTTGAAAAGAAGATTATTAATTAGGCCAGGTAATTTTAATGAAAGTAGGCAATTATTCTCTGTACACAAACAAGAGCACAGATAATTTAAGCCTATTATGTGCAAGCAACATTGTTTTGAAATGGATCCAACTTTGGAGGTGAAAAACAATGCCGCAACAACGACATAGACATTGTAAAAAATCACCTCAAACAAAGTTTTTTGTAACTTCCTCCAAACGTATGATAAGTACAACAATCTAGCTTATTTTAACTAGTAGGTATGAGAAACTTGAGCAATTTAAGAACAGTTGGACTGATAACGGTAAATAATTTATAGAAATAATAATGAATTAGTGTCAAAACTTTTTAAACTTAAGTTTATTTTTAATTTAAGAAAAAAAAAATCCTTTGTGATTAAAAATGTATTCAAGTATTATTGTATGCTTGTAATGTTGGTAGACTAAAATTACAAACAAATTCTTTTTCCTTGCACATTCCCTAGGAATGTTGTTTCGAAGGCACTTGTGCAAAGACCAACGTGGATTTGAAAAGAGGTGAATCACCTGTAAGTTACTGATACCTGCAGTACAATGATGATTTATGTACATGCACGCTGGCCTATGCTGACCGGAAATGAACAACAAAATATTTTTCAACAGCCGTAGATACAAAAGTTTAACTGGGAATAGTTAAACTGAAATATTAAGCGCAATTACAATTTTAGATTAACATGAAGTTAAACATTAAGATAGCTTAGAATTAATATATAGAAATAAGCGAAAACATTAGTAAAAGCCAGAATCGTTACAAACAACCAGTACGCACAACACCACTAGCAAACAACTACATTACATGTTAACTATAACAAACCTGGTACACAACAGTAGTAACCTTCAAGGGATTACCCGATTATTACCATTCAAGTTCGCAAGCTCATGGTTTACAGAGTAACCCTTTTTGCATCGCATTAATAATTTCAAAAACATACTGCAATAGTCTGATTTGTAATCTAGTTGATTGCTAACACTTTTTTCCAAATGTAAAGGAAAACAGAAAGTAACCCTTCCCCTTTTCTTGACTTGGAGAGAGAGTCCGTACGCCTGCCTCTAACAGGGATAACAGAGTTTCTGATTCCCCAAGGTACCACGAGACGACTCCCTCTCCAACGACTAGCAACAGAAAAACATGTTGACTAAAATTCTACCAAAATTCTGTATTATTTTTTGCAAACTTATAAACATTTAAACTACCAGTAAAATAAATTATGTTAACTCGCAACAGGCAAAGCCCTATTGTTCTCATCATTATTCTAATAACTGGTATTCTTATTATCATTATTACAATTATTATTATTACTATTATTATGATAATTATTCTTATAACTACTACCACTAATATTATAATTATAAGTTATTACGGCAGTAACCAGCGTTTTGGCGCTTAAGTAGTAGTATTAATTAATAAATCACCAATCGTTTATTCACCCGAGCATCAATCGAATGGTTAAGCAATTTTCACCGTTCTTTTTGCAACGAGTTTAGTTGAACAAACGACCGGTGTTTATCATTAGTAAATAATAATAATGTTCTGTTTTAATGTTAAGGTTAAATCTTATTAAAATCCTGTCAACTTCGTATGTAATAGGGAATGGAAGGGCATGAGCAAATGAATCTCCTTTCCTTCTCTTAGCGCAAAGAGGAGAGTGAACCGGATGTGGGAAGTGCCAATTTCTGAGTAGCTAAAATAGAGCAGTTCTAGCCAATTAGATTTTCGGGTATTGTCATTTTTGCAAGATTTTCCCCTGGCAAGCTCTCCTGCGTTTTTATCGAACCAGCGAGTGACCGACGTCCGCTACTCCTTATAAAAAAGCCTGGAGGCCCCAAAAAAGCTAGTTAATTTTTGTTTCTTACCCTCGAACGGTCGACTAAATAGTTAGAGTCCGCCTCTACTATCACTTAGTCCTCCACGAATACGTAACAATTGAAATACTTCACTTACCTCGGTTCGTACTGGTTCGCTAAGTTGTTTTACGTGTGCACCAATATCCGCCACGGTATTAATACCCATGGATCATCGAAAATTATTAAGGTTGATTACGCGCGCACCAATATCAGCCACGATATTATATATATAAGTACCCATGGATCCTTGAAAATTTTCAAGTTTGTTTCACGTGTACGCCACTATCCGCCATGGTAGTCGTACCATCGAAGCAAGAACTACTTAATCAGATTAAAGTGAGAATCAGTACTCGCGACGGTATTAGTACATCCGAGTCAGGTCGCAAGTCAATTTAACCATTTACCCCCACGTAACCTCAGGAAACGAAACTTTTACTCGTAACGGTGCCGGTATTATCTAGATCGCGGACGAGATACCCTTAGATACGCCGCACAGTGGAATAAACTAATATTTTTCGTTTTAAAACTATGTAAACTTCTTTAGAAGAAGCATTTTTTTATGAAAGTTTTTGAATCTTATAGGTATGATGACAAGGAATAACAGAAAATTAAGGAGAAATGAGAAAAATGAGATCCTAACCTACAAATTTTGGATTATTTTAGAAATTTTTCATATTACTATTTTTTTTTTTTTTCTTGTTAGAAAATAAGTTTTAAAGAGCTGGTAATATACCTTCATAATTATTTTACTTAATTTATTCATTTTTCAAATAAGGTATCAAAATTGCGTCTAGAAAGTGACTTTTTTGTCAAAATCAAGCATAATTCCAAAAAAAATTATTTTCTTCAGAAACTTTTTAGAAGTGTTAGTGTTGTGGCTGGGAGTGATAAATAGCTACTCAATGATATAAAAAAAGAATTAACCTATATACTCATGTGGTATTTGGAAATTTTTTCGTGTTTTGAAAATTCTTTCTTGTTCTTTTTATTCATTCTCCTAATATTAGATTCCTCAGGAATATAAAGTAGCTTGATCAAATTGATGCCTTTGATAATTATAATCATATAATCATAGAGAAACGACGAATTGCGATGATGTCGTGGATGCTTTTAAATTATTACGTGTTTGTTTCACTCTTAATCAGATTCCGTTTCCGTGTCACTTATATTATCGTCGTTCTTCCTGTAAATGTTTATAATTTCATGATTGACATCGGTTTATAATTATTATGAATAAAACTTTCACATTAAAACACTTTTCATGACTATTTTTTTTTTGTTTCTAACATAATTTCATTCTCCAATAACCTTGCAAAAATTAATTATATTATTTATTTTAATTACATTTGCATAATAATCTGTCCATCTCATTATTACGGGTATTGAAATTTATTAAACAGAGTAATACTAAATTTTAAAATATTGCTTTGTACCATAGTAAAAAGACAAAACAGTCCATTTTTACTCTACATTAGGTATTCAAAATAATAGCCATATAAGATGTACTAAGTGGCAACATTTTAGTCGAAAGTATTCATCGCTTTCGTAGTTAAAGTGATCAAGAAAGTATCATATAATTTACTACTCTACAACTCAAGACGTAATTTGAATCAATTATAAGATATTATTAAAGTTTCGTGATGATGTACACAAACGCTTAAAAGTATTTTTAAGAAGCCGGTAAATGAATTGCAACTGTGGTATTGGTTTGAAACAAGATAAAATTGTTTAGTTTAAATTCAATAATTAGTACAATTAAATCTAACTTTTAATTGAAAAATGAAATAATTGTTTTGCTTAGTGAATATAACAAGTTTAAGATACTGCACATAGAATGACAAATTCATTATGTAATTTTTTTTTCCTCCAGCGAATAATACAACTATAGTTAGAGTTTCCAATGTAATTACTACATTTACATGGAGAAATAGGATATTATGATTTTTTAACAATGGTAATGTATAATATTATGCCTGTATTTAATTTTTAAATCTTTTACTAGTTGACTGTCTCTAATTTTATTCAATATTACACTGAAATTCACAAGTTTAAAAAGAACTTTGTAGAGACTATATAAGTACTTTTACTTATACTGTGATCACGTAAATCCACTTAAGTCTTGAACGTTTTTATAATTCGCCTTTAGCCGTTATCTTTGTTCAATGTAATCTAATAAAATGATAGGGTCTGTCATGTAAACTACCCTATTAAAAACGTCTAGAATTCTAAGCTTCCTGCTTATTTATTGTGCGTGTGCAGTCCAATTTCTGCGATAATACTTGTGCCAGCTTTCACTACAATCGTTGGAAAAATATGCTAAAGATAAAGGGAACTTTTTTGCAATCTCACAACTATGAGCAAGCAATTTGTGTAATGTTGGGCTTATTTTCGCCCAGGGATAACATTCATAATGATTTTTATAAGTTTCAATACACAGTGTACTCATTTTGCTCAGAACTAGTTCGTGCTTGCTTTTAAATAATGATTTTACGAGAAAAATGTTTTTGACCAGCGTTTCATATAGTTCAAGAACTTTAGCAAATTTTTCTGGTTCCGGGAAGCATTTTCAAGCAACGTTATCGTTTGTAGTGGTACCATGTCCTTGAAGGACTTGGTCAACTCGAACCTTGAACTTTTCGTAAATTCTTTGTCGCACAATTTGAGTTCGCTTATCTGCATTTTCTAAAAGAATGTGGATATTACTATGCAAACTAATATAGTTATGTTACTGATTTGACACTTCATTTTTCTTAACCATTAAAAGTATGAACTTTTTTGCAAGACGTAATAGCTA